ATTTCATTCACTTCATCTGGCAAGATAAGAGTAAGTTTGGCAATAGGTGAAACATCTAAATCAGTCTGATTAACGTTGAAATTCGCTGTGAAAAGTTGTTCAAAAAGATATTGAAATCTTTGTATCATTTCTGTAACTGTCTTATCTTCAAATAGATCACGTGAACAAATAAAACGACATGACAATATGTTGTCATCCGAGAATGGATCGTAAATAAATTTCAATGTAAAATCAAACTTAGCCACTTCCGAAAGGTGTTCTAATGATACAGGTTGTAAGCTAACATCATCGAAAGTGAATTGATCATTAACTGAAGATTCAATAATGAAATCAAAAACTGTTTGAAGAAAAGGAGCAGTTGATTGATCAAGATGAAAATCACGAAGAATATGTTGAAGTGGATAATGAGAATGTTCAAGAATTGATAAACATTTTTCTCGTACATGTTTAACTACTTCATCAAATGACCAACAAGGATCAAGTTGCATACAATACGGTAATGTTGAAACGAACATACCTATTATACTCTGTAATTCAGGTCTGTATCGGTTAGCATTAACGCATGAAATCCATAACTCAGTTTGACGATATGTTAACTTGAATAAAAAAGTATAGAATGTAGCTAATCCGAGTTGAAATAGTGTCAAATGATGTAAAGAAGCGTGATTAAGAAATGATGAGGATATTTTCCTGTCGAAATTGATTTGCACGGTAGAAGCAAAACCAGATCGTTGATCATTAGATAAACAATGCTGATCGATTGGTAAAGACAATCGATGTTTCAAGTTACATCCTTCGAGTTGTGAACGCCAAAATGCACACGACAATGTCATATCAATGAGACGCTCATGAATACTATAATCAATATATTGTAATGATTCTTCATCATCTAACCACGTCATGTTACTATTGTAAGTATTACATAAACCATTTAAAAAAATCGAGACAGTTGATTGATCAGCTGCAGCATGATGAAAGCCGATCACAAGAACATCAGAATTTGTAATAATTTCTTTATCATAATTGTCATCAGGTATCATCTGTTGTCTAAGAATTTGACAATAAAAAACACGACCACTTGATAAATCGAATAAAGTAGGATTAATATTTATTTGTGAGATAATGTTGTGAAGATCAGTTTCAGTTTTGAATGTTTGATCGGCAGCCAATGTAAATGTTAGATGTTTATCAGTAATAGATTGTTTTAATATATTATTTTCATCATTAAAAGCTAGAGAAGTTCTTAATATCTTATGTATGCTTAGAACACAGCGAAGTGCTTGCAATAAACAATTCACTGATAATGAACCTTTCGTAACTCTTAGAATAATCAGCTCATTGTAAATAGCAATTTGATCAGAGAAACGAACTTGTTCATCAAGGAATATACGTTCTTGAGCATACGATGCGATACCTAAAAATTTATTAAAATAATATTTTTAGCTATTGAAAAAGTAGATTAAAAATCTCTTACCTTCGTTAATATTCAGTGTATGCCATTGTTTCAGTTGTGTACCATCGATGATGATTCTTTCAAGTAATCTTGCGTGTTCTACTATGGTGTTATATTCGAAGAATGATCGAATACTCAATGCTTCTGATTCAAAATTAAATTTTGATTGATAACGTTGATAGATCTTAACAAGTAAAAGGGAATTGCCGTCAACGCTGAAGAAACTAGCTGTAGTAGATATAAGAAAAGATGTTTGTTTGTCTATACCAGAGACATTTATAATTGGAGAATATATCGAAGATACTGTTTCGTTTTCAACGGATGAGAGCTTGTTCGATTCTAGATCATCATGTTGTATAATAAGTCGATTTGTGCATAATACTTCTTGCCAAATGTTCGCAATCATCTTTTCTAGTTCAGTCTTTGGTACATTATAAGTATCTTCTTGTTGAAACACTGATAGTGATATCTCTGGTAAAGCTTTTCGATCAATTTTACCATTTGGACTTAACGGAAATGATGAAACACTTATAAAATGTGATGGTATCATATACATTGGAAGCTTTTTTGTTAGATATACTCGTAATGTTTCACTCCAGTTTGGCATTGATTTTACTGTCGAAATAGTGCGTTCACTTTTTTGTTTATTGCTAATCTTTCCAATAAATAATGTATGTAATATATCACTTCCATTTAGTTTCTCATGAATAAGAATAGTATCTAATACATCATTAATTTTTTTTGGAAAATTCTCGCGAGTACCAATTGGACACATGCCGATATTCATTTCTAAACAATGATCCATTAATAAATGTGACATCTTTCCTATGTTCATTGTGCATTCTGATCGTCCGGTGAAGAAGATTGCACCTTGACAATCATGGAATATAATCTTTGCATCATTGTCATCATCAAAGAACAGTGGTGTTTCCTCTTCTATAGTTGCAGTTTCGACATCTAAAGATGTCACAGTATCATTTTCTTTATTATAAATAAACCATTGGTCTTTGTTATTGTTGACCGATTTTAGATAAATAATACATTGATAATTGTCATTTTGTACATTACTAGATATATGTTGCTCAGACGATGAAATTTTGAAACAACAATGTGTATTATGCTCACCTATATTCAAAATATCGCCAGTCATAGATTCATTATGAGTATTTTTCGAAAATGTCAGTCCTAATCTTGATCCTTCTTTTTCTAATAATCCCATAATATATCCTGTTTCTAGCATACAAAATTGAGAACCCAATCTTTGACCATATAATGGTGCAATTGCTGATGATCGTCCAACCAGATGTAATCTTATATTCTTCATTTCATTATTAATATGAGTACTAATTAGCTCTAGAGTATGCTCATCTGGATTATGATAGTAAACACCAGGCAAAATATTATCTATAGATGTTGGTAATTCAATATATACTTGAACTGGATAAAGACTACCAGCTGAAGCATAACGATATTTTGGTAAAGGTTGATCAGAAATGCTGATCGATGTTAATACTCCCAATAATTGACTAAGAATATCAAAATCAAGGTGAGATAAACATATTTTCTCGTTATTGTTGTTATTGTAACAGTTTTTTAACAACTTTTCGATAGTAGATCTTTCGATAGTTTCATTTGTGAATTGTCGATAACTTTTTCTCATATAATATGCATTGATGAATGTTTCTGTAAGCTTCGGTTTTGTTAGAGCAAAGCTCTTTTCTACCTTCCTTTGATGTCTTATACTATGTCTTGCAAGCTTAAAATTGATGCGCTCAATAGAATCAGTGATTAATATCTCTGTTGAATCATATTCTTTATTATAAATAGACTGTTTTTCTGGCATAACATATCCAACTAACTGTTGAGATTTGTCATCCAAATTAACAATAGCTTGTTGAATATCTGGATGTTGTTGTGAACTATGTTCAATTTCACCAAGTTCAATACGATGACCATGTACTTTTACTTGAAAATCTTTCCGTCCCGTAAATTCAATATATCCATTTGGTAGAAATCGACCATAATCACCTGTTCGATAAAGACGTTCATTAGTTAATGGATGAATAAAAAAACTTGATTGTGTTTTTTCTTCGTCATTCCAATAACCATTGGCTAAGCCTTCACCACCAATATACAATTCACCAATGACCCATTCAGGACAATCATGAATATGTATATCATAAACATAATATTGTTGATTTCTTAAGGGAATTCCATAAGGAATTGATTTCCATTCGTGTGGTATTTCTTTTGGTAGAGTATAGGCAATTGACCAAATAGATGCTTCTGTTGCACCACCTAAACTAGTTATTGTTACTTGTTCACCCAATGTTATTCGTATTGAATTAGGTAAAGATAGTGGTATCCAATCTCCACTTAATAAGATATGTCGTAATTGATTCTGATTATTACTCGTATGTTTGAGATGTTCAACAAACATTTGCATTAACATTGGAACACTATTCCAAATAGTGACATGATGTTTAATTATCATATCAGACCAATGTTGAGGATTTTTATAATCTTCATGATCTGGAAGAACAATAGTTCCACCAGCAATTAATATTCCAAATATATCATAAACTGATAAATCAAAATTTAAATGTGATAATGCAAATATTCTATCATTAGTTGAGATTTCTAATCTTGAATTCATATCTAAAATAGTATTTACAACAGCTTGATGACTAATCATAACACCTTTTGGTTTTCCAGTTGATCCAGATGTATAAATAACATAAGCTAAATCAGTTGGTGATTGTTGTTTAATAGAAAATGGTATAGAATAGTCGTTATTTGTGCATGTATCGACTGGGATAGTTGTAAGATGTGGAAATCTATGTTGACAATGAGATTGTGTAAGAAGAATTGTGACATTAGTTTCTTCGATTAATGAACAAAGACGATCGTAAGGTGAATCAATATCCAAAGGTAAATAAGCACCACCTGACACTAAAGTAGCTAAACAAGCCACTACTTGCTCCCATCCTTTTTTCATTAGGATAGCAATTAATTGATTGGTATATGTTTGCTGTTGTTGCAAATGGTATGCTAGTGAGTACACACGACTCATTAGTTGTCTATAAGTTAAATTTAGTTGAGAAGAGAGAATAGCTAATGCATTAGGTGTTAGCTCAGCTTGTTTAATGACGAGTGAATGAATTAATCTATCTTTAATATTTGATTCCCATTGTGTTTGATTAAAATCTAATCGTCGTTCTTGTTGTTCAAAAGGCAAAGAGACGAATATGGGCTTTTGCCATATATCATCAAACGAAGCTAATTTGACAAGTAAATCAACATATGTATCATGTATATGATTGATCATTTCCTTTCGAAATAAACTGTCTACATATGTCCAATTTATTGATAGACAACCATTAATTTCCATTACTATATGATCGAGAAAAACCTGTGGTGTTTGACTAATCGCATAAACCGGCTCTTGATCAAAAAATATATTGTGCTCAACATTTTTCTCACGCATATCTTCAGCATCTACTCCACATGTAAAAACGTATGGTAAAAGAATTTCTCGTGTCTGATGCATCTGGATTAAGTCACGAATAAATGACACACCATCATAAGATATATGTTCAAGATCGTTCCATAATTGTTTCTGCACAGTGTGAATAAATTCATAATAAGTGATTATCTTATCCAAATTAATTTCCAATGGTATAATTGTTGTAAAATCTCCTACTATTTGATTAACTTGTGGATGAATAGGTAATCGATTGAAAACTGGTAGGTTCAAAGCAAAATGTTTATTTTCACTCCATTTACCCAATACTAAAGCGTAAATTGATGCCAAGAAACCGGCTGGTGTCAGCCCATGATCGGTAATACGTTTTCTTAATTTTTGACACAATGATAGATCTAATATAGTTGCTACATTGCAATGACGTTGAACATTTATCTCGTTTGGTAAATACTGTAATGGTAAATCTGGACCTAATGGAAACGATTTTAAACGATTGATCCAATATTGTCTATCATTGCTATAAATGGTCGTGTGCTTCCATTGTTCCTCTGCCAGAATGTAATCTCGATAAGATAGTTTTAGTTCTACCAAGTTATGATTCAAGTTACAATACAATTGATTTAATTCATGTAAAACTAAATTCATGCTCCAGAAATCAAAGATGAGTATATCGATACCAAAATGCAAACGTATATTATAACCGTCATCACTAATAAAGCGAGTTATTTGAAAATCAAATAACGGCCATTGATCAGCTGGTCGAACCTGATGTGATAGTTGTTCTCGTCGTTCTATTAGATGTTTTTGGGAAGACTGAAGATCATCTAAGTTAAAAATAGATATAGTATAATAAGGAGTTGTTTTGAGAATTATCTGTTCCGTATGAGAGGGAAAGATAAGACGCAATGCTTCATGCCGTTGAATTAAATAATTTAGTGCTCGTTCCAAGCATCCGATGTTGAACGTTGATGAGAAATCATATTCATTATAGACAAAAGCAGAAACATGACCAAGTTCAATGACACCTTCACGTCCAACAAGATATGCTAGTTGAATATCTGTAACAGGAAATGGTTCGTATCGTGACAATTCATCTGCGACAAGTATGATATTCTCTTGAGAAATCGAATGAGCATGCTTCTGACTAGACATTTCTATCAACACAAACAAAAAATAAAAAGTAATATGTAGGCAAAGCAGATTAGAGAATACGATATACCTTGCATATTACGCAGAGTAGACAAAAGTTTTTGATATGTTTCTGGATCATCTATTGATTGATGAATGAGACGAGCATGATCAGCAATAGTGGTATGTCGAAAAAATTCAGAAATACTGATCTTAGTCGTATCAATTTTGAGTGTCATCTTGTAATTCTGATATAGTTGAATAAGTAAGAGAGAATGACCACCGATATCAAAAAAATTTGTATTGGTAGAAATTCTGGTTTGACGGAGAATCTGATACCACAATGAATAAATATAGATTTCGAGTTCATTGCTTGGTTCTACATGTTGATAATGGTTCGTGTCAGAAGAATGAAACGAAGTTTTCGGTATTGGTAAAGATTTTCGATCTACTTTTCCATTAGCATTTAAAGGTAACTTATCAAGTATCATAAAGAAAGATGGAATCATATGTGGTGGAAGATGAGATTGACAATGTTGACGTAGTTGTTCTTCATTCACATGAGGAGAAGAAGATTGAACATATGCAACTAGATAATCATCATTCCATTTCATGACAACACAAGCAGAGATAGTTGTAATGTTAAGCAAACATCTTTCTATTTCACCAAGTTCAATTCGTTGTCCATGTAATTTAATTTGAAAATCTTTTCGACCGTCACAATAGAGAAATCCATTATGAATCATTCTAACAAGATCACCTGTCCGATAGAATATCTCATCATCGACTTCAATGAGTGCTCTCTGTGTCAAATCATCACGTCCAAGATAACCAGCGAAAACGCCTACACCTCCTATAAATAATTCACCTTCTTGGTTAATCGTGACAAATTGTAAGAAATTATCCAAGAGCAAATATCGATAATTAGGCAATGGACGTCCTATTGGAATACTGTCGGTATTAACGATAATGTTTACGGGATAAAAAGTACAAGCAACAGTAGCTTCTGTTAAACCATACCAATTCCAAAAAGTAAAATGGTGTGTAGGATTAGTGAGAATTAAATTGACTAACTTGATAGAACATGGCTCACCTAAAAAGTAAGTGAACATAATATAAGATTATATAGCTTGTATGATGGTTACTTACCAATAGTACAAAGTGATCTGATATATTTTACAACATGTAAATAATGATTCTGTTTAAGAAAAGTGAAAAAGTTGCGAAGTAAACTTGGTACAGAGTGCATATAAGTAATTTGTTTGTTTCTCATAACTTCAGCAAGATAGTTCAGTTCAACAGTTCCTCTTGGATGAAGCATAATTATTGTAGCTCCAATTATCAATGAACCAATAATTTCTTGAACATGATTGTCAAATGAACATCTAGCCATTTGAATCACTGTATCATTGTTAGTAAATGAATCAATGCACATTAAAGAATAGATACATTGAATAAAATTTCTATGTCGAACTCGAGCCTATAAATAAAAAGATCACGACATCATCTAAATATATGATTCTCCTGATAGGTAAATAATATATCAAAAAAAATTTAAAACGATTCGATCTCCTACAAAACAACTAATGAAACCAATAAAAAGTTAATCCTTTTCTCATATAACTCATTTATGTAATTTATTGTGTGTTAGCTGAATAGCAGATTCAATACTCACTCCTTTTGGCATTCCTGTTGAACCACTTGTAAATATAATGTAGGCTATGCTGTCCATAGTCACATGAACAGATGATAATTGATCAATATTAGTGTGTTGAAATAAATTATTGTTGACCAATATAGAATCAATGTCGAATATAGTGATAATACCATTAAATTTATTTTTTGTCAGACAATGGCCGAGAACCAGACGACTTTGTGTTTGTTGCAAAAGCATATGCAAACGATTCTCTGGATCTCGAAATGACAATGGAAAATAAACACCACCAGCCATCTCGATTGCCATGATCCCAATGACCTAATTAATATCAATATTTTAAATGAGACAAATATTTATTTAAACAGTTAACTTACCATAGACAGACTTCGTTCGACATATTGCGAGATAACTTCACTTGGAATGATACCATATTCATCTAAAATATGGACTGCTAACATCTGGACATAAGCAAAAAGCTCAGCATATGTCAAAGATTGTTCATCAAGTTCAACAGCTAGTTTTTGTGGATGTTTCATTACTTGATA